AGGTAACTCGGAATAGCGAACTAAGGACCTCAATATACTCACTTCGTCTTTTTAACAGCAAGTTTTGGGACAAGACGTATAATCAGGATGTCTTGACGCTGTACCAATGCGCTACCACTATCGTATCATCTACGACTGCACTCACGCCACTATGAAACTCTATGAATATAGCTTTTTATGTAGCACCCGTGACGACTTATACTTATCACAGGTTTAATAGCTCTAATTGAAGGTTTTATTTGTACATATATATCGATTTTGCGCGATTTTGCCTGAAAACATGTCGACCAGGGCCAGGATTTCGTTGTTTGCCTGCCTTGCGGCTGTGATCGTGTCAATTGGCTGTATGCCGATGCTGTCAAATCAAGTGTTAAGTGTAGCTGCATCTCTATCCGCTTATCGCATTGGCAACCATCATAAACCTAGCGAAGCTTTAAATGATGATGACGTGGACGACGAAGTTGAGGGTGAGTGGGATTTTATGGACAACGACGCCATTTTTGGGCTACCAAAACGACAGGACGAGGAAGAAAACGTAGATACAGAGGACAAGAATAAATCTTGCGTGACCATCACGCCGGTGGAGTTCGTGAATGACGACTACTGCGACTGCCATGACGGCAGCGACGAGCCCATAACTTCGGCTTGTTCCAATCTACTGCTGCATTTAAAGACATCTATGATCAGTCGGGAGCTCAAGTGCAAAGCAGGCGACAAGATGGTGGCCTTAGCCTTTGTTGACGATGGCGTCTGTGATTGTTGCGATGGCAGTGACGAGAAAGACGGTCTGTGTATTGATACGTGTGAGACCGAGTGGGTACAGCAACTCGAGTTACTTCATAAGAGACTGGATATTGTAGTAAGGGGACAGAAAAATCAGGCAGAATATATAACCAAGGCCGCAGATAAAGTGCAACAGCTGCAAACAGACTTTGAACATCTTTCAAGATATTTTCAGTCTGAAACAAAAAAATTTGAAGCTCTACAGCGGCGGTCCAAGCATAATCCGACACTAAGTAGACAAGTCGAGCAATCGTACGATGAGTTGCGTCAAGTGCAGTACACGACGTATGTGCAAAGTCGTGTTACTGACCAAAGCACTTTCTTGGATGCGAAGTGGAAGCTTGCTTTTGTCGAATTGGTGGGATTATGTTTTTCATACACAGTGAACGAGAAAGAGCTTAAAGGGGGAGGTTCCTACGTTATTCCTCGCAAGTATGACATGATATTCTGTCCTTTTCAGAATATCTCGCAGACTGAACCATGGTATTCATCGTGGAAGAAAGCTGAACATCAAACAAAGTTTGGAGCTGCAAAAATGGATGACGTTATAGAAAAAGAAAGTGTCCCTGTACCTATCATCTTAGGCGTTTGGAATCAGTGGAACAACTCGATTGGCCTTACGCGCGTACAGGACTATAACCATGGCGTACCCTGTGCAAATGGTCAAGAGCGTAGAGCTCGTGTGAAGCTTTCGTGCGGTGCTCAAAATCGTGTGTTGTCGGTTGAGGAATGTGCGATTTGCGAGTACGAAATCCAGTTTGAGACGCCGGCAGCATGCGAGATAGCGGAACTAAATGCAGTGAAAGACAAAATCGCTCAGGTTGAGACGTTTCGTGTCAAAAACGCCGTGGGCAAAACATCTGACGGTCACGAAGAATTGTAGGATGTTATAAGAATAGATTACCATTTGCTGATGTTCGAAACACAACGCCTGCCTACACAGCTAAAAATCTCGCTCATGTTTTAGTGATTCTTCCTCTATTTTACTTAGCCATCGCACACGCTCACCGCGAACGAACTCGCCGTACCTCCATCGAAAATCCCCTTTCTTCTCTTTTTGGCTATTAAAACCATAACAAGCGACACCTTCGACAAATCCGTTCAGGAACTGTCCACGAAGACGACTGCCATCCGTGTACAGAACCTCGCCTTCACCGTGGCATACATGCTTCACAAACTCCCCAACATACTGCACTATTCCATAAAGCCCATTCTGCTCTCTCGCCAGGCTTTGAGTATCATTATCCAGCACTTCGTTTGTTGTCAATATTTTTAAAATTAACGGAAGATACACACGTTCGCCGCGACCATGAAGCTGTCCATGTGACCACTCCCCAGACCACGATTTTCCATTAGGAGAGCGCAGCTGACCCTGACCATGGAAACGACCGCGTAGAACTCCACCTTTGTACGTGACTTTGCCTCGCCCACGATGCCAGCATCCAGAGTTCTCCGGAAATTCGAATTCGCCATTCCATTTCTTGTTAATTTTGTTGTGCTGACTTAAAGTGTCAGCAGAAACAGGTTGTTCTTCCTTTAAAACCAACTCGTAGATGATACTTGTCTCTCCGCTCTGCTGCCCATTTTTGTAGTCACCTTCATATATCAGAAGGCCAAACCATCCGTCCTTCATGGTCATTCGCAGCGGCCTCGCACTGATTTGACTTGTGTGCAATCCACGGCCATGCATCTGGTCGTCCACCCAGTCGCCTGCGTAACGATCACCGTTCGCAAACACACGAGTGCCTTTGCCGTGGCGCTTAGAGCGTATGAAAGCGCCTTCATATATTCCTCCATTTTGATAGACAAAGCGTCCTTCCCCGTGAAGATCTCCTTTTTCGAATGTGCCATCGTATGTATCACCATTTGCGAATCGCATCGTTCCTGGGCCATTCTGCAAGCCACGTTCAAATGTTCCCATCGCCGTGCAGCCATCTCTTTCAAATACTCCTTTACCATGGGGTTCGTCGTCTTCCCATGCACCTTCGTATCGTCGTCTCTCTGATTTATCGCCGCCATACGTACGTATTCCCTGTCCTTGTCGCTTGCCATCTTTGAATTCTCCAACGTAAGAGCCATTTACACCTTCAGGTCCATACCAAATATGACCAAAGCCATGAAAACTGTCAAGTCGGAAGCCACCACGATAGATTGATCCGTCACGGAAGCGTAGCTCACCGCACCCGTATCGCAAGCTTCGGACAAAGTCGCCCTCGTACACGTCACCCGACATACCATATACACAAACACCTTTACCTTCATAACGTCCATTCTTCACTTCACCATCGTACTGGTCACCACTTCGAGTTAGCCAAGTGCCACGGCCATGCTGTTGTCCGCGTAAGAAACTTCCTTCGTATCTCTCTCCACGTCGCCACACTTTGGTCATCGGATGCTGAGATTTTGGTATATATAGCACGCCAGACCCTTCAAACAAATTGTTGACAAACTCACCGATGTAGCTGCCGCCAGACCCAAACGTGAGAATTCCTTGACCGTGACGCTTGCCATCAACCCACTCACCGTCGTAGATGTTGCCTGTCGAACATTTTACTCGACCCCGTCGGTGAATTGACGCATTAGGACCGAGCCGCCACGAGCTGACGCGATAATTTACTTTTTCGACTTCCATGAATTTCTACTTATAGTTCCTGATCCAGACTGTTACCAACAAAAACAGATTTGGCGGCTGTAATCAACGCGACATTCTAAGCAAAGGTTGACCGACGTCTTTTGAACTCTTTTTATTCAAAACAATGCATAGTAGTACTTTAGCCCATTACCGTCAGCCTCAGATACTGCCCTTCTGGATAGGAGTCGCTGGCAGAGACCCAGGCTTGCGCGTTCCCAATCGCTTCTTGACTTTACTGGCAGCTACCTCTGGATCTGGACGCAGCGAGAAGACTGCACGTGAGCTCTTGAGATACTTATTACGACCATTGTCCTCACGAATAAGACTTTCTAGCACTATGTGAGGCGACACCTGTCGTCGCGACGCGCGACGCTGGGTCTTTAATCGCGCTAAGTACCGTCGTGTACTCGGTTGCTTGCGCTGTAGACGGCTGCCAGCTTCATCTTCTGCGACTCCGT